TGTCTTTAGATTCCTATACTTTTTCCTTCTTTCGATTGGGCCTGCAACCCGTGTGTATCAAAGCTTGCATCCTTCTATTCACACACCCATTTCCTTTCATTTGGGCCTGCAAATCAGTGTGTATCGAAGCACACCCTTCGATTCACACACCTTTTTCTGTTTTCTTTCATTTGGGACATGATAGCAGTATGGGTTGAAGCCATGCTAATATGGCCTGTACATGTTAGTCTCTAACATATATTTGGACAAGAAAAGCAAACAAACAAAAGGGTAGAAATGAAAAATAAGCAAAAGGTTATTTACATGCTTGAAACGAAAGGGTTAAAGTCAGGAAGACTTACTTTGAATCTGAAGTTTGGTGCTTTTGGACCTTGAGTGATTTCCCTAGATGCTCTTGGATTCGAAGGGAGAGAAACAAGTGTTGTATTTCTTTGACTGGATTCGAAAGCCAAGAAAAGTAGAAGTGTTTCTTTGGTTATGGATTCGAAGGAAAAGAAACAAGTGTTGTGTTTCTTTAGTTCTGGATTCGAAAGAACAGAAACAAAGGTGTGGTCTTTTGATTCTAGGTTTGAGAGTGCGTTAAGTGTTTTCTCCTTTCTTTGCCTTGCCAACAAATCTCTCTCCAGCCACTAAAAAGCCCCCCTAGATGTGTTGTCGAACATCTTATTTATAGGTGAAGTTTGGCTGAGGTTTAGGGGGGAAAGCAAATGAAGCTTGAACAAATTGGGTATGCTGTTTTTGTAGCTTTCAAGGTGCAATTTTTATATGCCAATTTAGTGCAAATATGGGAGCAACATAGCAGGACTGCTTTACAACAGTTTTGGAGTGTTGTGGCCAGTACAACATGCTTGGGCTTATAAGCATACTGGACTTTGGTCAGCAAGCATCTTGAATAAAACTCATCAAAAGACAAAACAAAAACTTGTTTCTAACAATTGTGTCCTTCGAATGGACCACATGTGTGTTCTTCAAATGGACCACATGCACCGCTTGTATGTTCTTCTAATGCACCACTTGCAATTCTTCAAATGGGCCACCAATGTTTGTCCTTCGAATGGGCTACCAATGTATGTCCTTCGAATGGGACACCCATATATGTCCTTCAAATCCATCAATGCATGTCCTTTGAATGGGCCACCAGTTGTGTGTCATAGTGTAGAGACTATGTGTGTTGAAGGTTTTTAAAGGTAGAATCAAAGCAAGCTGTTTCAAAGGGAGCTACTGCCCAGTGAATCGAAGCACGTATGAAAGAAGCCACTGCTTTATAGGTGCTAGCATGAAGGGAAGCCATTTCCTTCTGCATTAAAGGCAAGCACGGAGGAAGCCATTTCCTTGTGGTCGAAAGCAAACACGGATGAGGCACTTGCCTTGTGGATCAAAGCAGACATGAAGGAAATACTTGCCTTATGAATCGAAAGCAGGCATGAAGGATGTATTTGCCTAGTGAATCAAAAACAAGCCTGAAGGATATACTTGCCTTGTGAATTGAAAGCAAGCCTGAAGGATGTACTTGCCTTGTGAATTGAAGGCAAGCCTGCATGAGGCCACTGCTTTGATGAAGCTTGTGGACCAAAGCTTTCTCGAAGGGGGACCAAATGCCCAATCGAAGCTTGTGGACCAAAGCTTGACCGAAGGGGACCAAATACCCAATCGAAGCTTATGAATCAAAGCAAACTTGCTCTTCTTTGATTTGATGCTTGAGACCCCAATATGATTCCATGGAAACTTGCACAATCTTGACCCAATAGAAATTTTGTAAGAAAAATCTTGAGAAATGAGAGGGTAAATTTTGGGGTACAACACCACCGTATGCCTCTTGAATCTCCCACCAGAGATGACCATAACAGTAGGGAATGACTCCCAAGGGTTGTGGGAGGAGAAGTACAATGGAACATTCCCCATGCATGGGAAGTAGAAATCTTCTGGCCGCGAGATGCTCATGGCGACTGGTATGGTGCTGATGTCGGGGGACTTCTTCCTTTCTTTGATGCTTTTAGCTTCTGGATCCTCTTCACAGGCACCCTCTTTCTTCTTGTATTGCTTGAGGTGCCCATCTCGAATCAGTATCTCGATTTCATCCTTGAGATGGATGCAATCTTCGGTGTTGTGCCCGTGGATTTCATGGAACCTGCATTATTTGCTCTTGTCGGTTCCGAGTTTGGAAGATGTCTATCGGGGAAAGTGTACCCCAACTTGTTTGAATTCGGAATTGGTGCATTCAGACATAATACGCTCCCTCGAAGTAGTTAGAGGGGTGTAGTCATGAAACCAACCAGCAAGCCCCTTGTAGACCTTGGAGTCTCGGGATTAGTCTTCCCATTTCTTTTCTCCCTGACGGGATGTCTAGGGCTCGTCATTTCTTGAGGACTTGGTACTTTCTCTTTGCCTCGACTCTCTGGCGTTATTGGAGGCTTCTTTCTCCTCGTATTGTATGTATGCTTGAGCCTTAAGGAGGAGGGAGTCGAGCGTGGCCGGTGATTTGATGCTCATTGCTTTAGCAAATTTGTTACGAGGAAGGAGCCCGCACTCAAGAAGGTATTTCTTCATGATGTCGGTCATGGAGACCTGTACTGCTTCCTTGTTGAAGCGCTCAATGTATGCTTGCAGAGACTCATCTCTGCCCTGGATGATTGCTTCGAGTGAAGCCTCTGATTTTGGGTGTCTACGGAAGGCGGTGAAGTGTCTTGAGAACATCTTCCCCAGCTGCTTCCAGGAGGTAATAGACTCGTCTGTGAGGCTTTTGTACCAAGACATTACTCATTTCCTCAGGATGGTCGGGAACAATCTGCATTTGATGGCGCCCCTGACCCCTCGATAGTCGAGGAGGGCGTCCATAATCTCTATGTGTTTATCAGGATCCGTCGTACCATCATATGTTCCCAGTGAGGGTGGCTTTTCCAGGACGATTAGGAGCTGGGCTTCTGTAATATCTCTTGATAACGGGCAGCGGGGCTCGTCATCGTCGCTTTATACGGGAGATGGAGATGAGGAGTGATAGTTCCTTTCCCGCCAGGCATCATTGTCTCGTCGAGGGAAGGACTTTTCCGTTGATGTATTGGCTTGGGCGATGGTGATCGACCGCGATCAATTTGGCGGTCACTCTTCTTCTTCTTGGATGATGGAGAGTCTCAGTCTTTCGTGGGAGGTGTGCGGTTGTGTTTCTTGAAGAAAGAAACGCTGCGTCTCTCCTTTCTTGAAGGATGGCCACGTCTAGGTGGAGATATGCTGGGGAAATCTCGTCGCCAGAGTCTTCGAGGAGGAAACTTTGACTACTTCTTCTCCCAGGCCCTATCTTCTTGTTTTGCTGCAGAATAAGGGCGTTAGTCTGGTTGATGGAAGCGTGTAATGCTGCAATGGCTGGGTCAGGGTTGTGAAGAATGAGAACTGGTTGTAGAATCTCCAGTAGTTCCTCGGTGGGGATCTTGGGACGCTGCTCGTCCAAGAATTGATGGTCGTCGCGCTGGGCATCAACTGAATCAGGGGACGTAGTCCGACCGTCGCGGAAGCTGAGGTTATCCTCGAGGTGAGGATGTTCTTGACTTTTGTCGGTCTTATGCACTGGGGAAAGTGCAGCCTTTCTAGACGGATGGTGATCATCATGGTCTGCTATGATTGTTGAATGAGGTGGATCATTAATCTTCAGATTCCGGGAAACAGAAAACAGGGAAGATAGTTTCCCATAGACGACATCACTGATCTTACCGGTTGATCAGAACCTACAAGATGGCCGGATGATGATCTTCATGGGGGTTGGAAAGTCGAGAAGGAAAAAGGGAGTTGTACCTGCAAGACACTCCGATGATCAAGTAAGTGTGGGAGCAAAGAGATACAAGTAGAATATTAGGGTTTTAGGGGTAAATAGTGAATATTCGATACCTGACCCTCACATATGTGAGGGTTTATATAATTCCCCTGGCGCATGACCATTGGTTCCTATTTTTGGGCCTAGATATGCGGGTCCGTAAAAATAGATAACTGCCAAGATTTAATGATACCGAGAAGGTGTGTCCGCAACTAGTCGTTAGTTCCGAGGAGAATGTAGGTTACGGACAACAGTCTGGTCGATTTCTGATTGTCTGGACGACTCCAGATCGAGCAGACTGCGAGGTGCTCATCAATCATCGTTGGTCAATGTCGATCCAGAAAGACAAACGATCGATAGTGTCCGACAAAGGACGAGAGAGATCCAGACCATGGTCGTATAGACCGTACCGAAAAAGAAATTTAGATTGGGTCTACTCTGATTATTAGGTCAATCCATAAGAATATCCCATGTAAAAAAATTACTTATATTTAATTTAATTAAATTTAGTTTTCCATTGTACGGATCAAATATTTAATTTAATAAGAACATCTTAAGAACATCTCTTTTAACATTTTTACACAAGTTAAAAAATATAACTAAAATAATACAAAATATATGAATGACTCAACACATATTATTAATGATATGAGAAAAAAATTAAAACTAAATAAATGATAAATAGGAAAATTATATAATAGAAAAAAGAAATTAAGTTTATTTTTTATTAAACGAAACAATGTAAATGTATTAAAAATATATAATTTAAAATAAATAAATTTGATCGGAATGAGGAATAATTTGAAACGGATACCGGTATACCACTACTATTAATATTAACTCTAAAATTACCACATGAAAATAACATTTTTTAATGTAGCATTAGTATGTCAAAATCAAAATACACTCCTTAACAAAAAGAAAAAGGTTGCAGCACACTACAGTCTACAGTCTACAGTCTACGGTCTACAGTCTACAGTAACACAGCAACACCAACAAAAGTAGCACGCACTTTTTCCCCATTTGTTTCGTTCACACACTGTTTCTGGTTTTTTCACTCCCTTTCCGTTCTTGTTGCTCATTCATTCCCCATATAAAAAACAACCACAACCTCTTTTTATTTACTTCTCTCCGCGTTCTTTCTCTTTCTATATAAAAAATCAATTTCTGTTATTAGGGTTTGAAATGTGGAGGGAGAATGGAACACTCTGAAATCGATTTTGCTGCTGCTCTTTCCACCGCCCAAGAACCCCGACAAGGTTCCCAGGAACATTCTCCACCGCCGTCAGATCTCAATCATACGGTTGATGAAGATGATGATACACTTGCTGTTGAGCTTCGTGATAAGTTGGATTTCAAGGTTGGTGATGAACAAGGGGGTGCTGAAAGTGAAACTGAGGTTAAGGTTTCCGAGTTAAACGTCGGTGAAGAATCTGTTAAGGATGAAAATGAAGAATCTGCTGAAGATGTAGTGTCTGTTAAGGGTGAAGAAAGAGTTGATGGAGATAGCAAGGGTTGGGAGACTAATAGTTGGAATGAGAATGTGAATGAAGAGCTTGGTGGTGGTAGAGATGGTGGTGGTTATGGTGATGATGGTTATGGTGGTGGATATGATGCTGTCTATGGTTATGGTGATGGAGTTGAAAAGAAGGTAGATGATTATGGTGGTGGTTATGATGCTGTTTACGATTATGGTTATGGAGTTGAAAAGAAGGAAGGTAACATCAGTGATGGAAATCACCAGTTTCCTTTGAGGCCTGAAGCTGAAGATTGTTCCTTTTATATGAAGACGGGGAGTTGCAAGTTTGGAATAAACTGCAAGTTTAATCACCCCATTAGGAGGAAAAACCAGGTTATTTCTTTTCTCTTTGTTGGTTGTTTCATTTCAAAGTTTGTTGTTGATGCTTCTCTTTATATATGACATCGTTGAAATTCAAGATTTAATCTTATAGTATTTATCTTTTGCCCCCAAAATTCCCTTTGATTGTGTGCTGTTACATCCTGGTTAATTTGTGCTTAATGTTGAATTGTAATTTTTGGTGAAATTGGTATCCCTGCAAGTTGCAATGGCTTTAATATCACTGCTTTTGGCCTTTGTTTTTCGTTTTCTGTGACATTGCTTGTTTAGATAGTTCTTCGGACTTTATAATTGTACTCTTTGCGAGGTCTCCTATATGGTATAAGGGCTCCACTAGGGTAATAAAAATGGAAGATAAAGTTTTCCTTTTGGAAGGGACAATAGCTTTTGTTCATTCAATATTGGGCATGTCAAACAGGTTCTATTGGCTTTTATGACTAGGCAAATTTTATTTGATGTTCTTACTTAAAATATTCTTTGTTTTGGTGTTTTGATTACATATGAAGGCTGTAAGGGAGAAGGTGCGAGATAGAGAAGAACCTGCTGAGAACTTGGGCCAGACAGAATGCAAGGTTATTCCCCTAATCATTCTACTATCACTTTGGTTTTTCTTCTATTATTATATTCATTATTAAAATACAAGTTCCCCAAGGCTGTGGTTTTCCATGGAAGTTTGAGGTCATAGATCATTTGCGTTTGATTTTTAGGGCTGTTCTTACTATCTGGCGTTGTTTTACACTTTTACTTGTGACACCATGTGGACCTGAGTTTTACAGCGGTCAGCAGGACATAGAAGCAATGTATCTTACTCTTACATTGAAATTCCTTGATTAATAATTACTAGTTGCTTAGAATTAATAGATGTCACTTTTGGAGGATCATATGTTAATCTATGTTATCTGCCTGGTGTACGGTGGCCATTAACAGAGGAATCAATCACGGTGGTTTGTTTTTTATCACGGCATATTAGTTGACAATGACATAGTTTTCTGATAAGCTTTATCATACTTTCCTAGCAAGGATAATATATACATTGGCAATGACAATAGAACTTTTCCTGACATGTATGTACTTCATATATATTTTTTATCTTATGCTATGGCAGTATTATCAAAGATCTGGGGGTTGTAAGTTTGGAAAAGCCTGTAAGTTCAACCACATAAGAGGTTATGCAGCACCAATTTCAGAACTAAACTTTCTCGGCTTACCTATTCGTTTGGTATAAACTTCTTTCTTACCTATGAAAAGATATTTACTATTGTGTGTATATAAAATAGTTCTTTCTGATAGTTTAAAAATGTTTTGTTTGATAGGGAGAGAAAGAGTGCCCCTATTACATGCGCACTGGCTCTTGTAAGTTTGGATCAAACTGTAGGTTTAATCATCCTGATCCTACAACTGTGGGAGGAAGTGATCCTCAATCAGGGTATGGTAATGGAGGGTCTGTTCCATTACGAGGTGTATCCCAACAATCTGCCTCTTCATGGTCTTCTTCATCAAGAAAGTTAAATGAAGCACCTTATGTACCAATGATGATTACACCTACTCAAGGACTTGCTCCTCAAAGTCCTGATTGGAATGGATATCAGGTAAATACATAGATTCAATGCCAAAAGCCCTCTGGCAAGGGGTAATTTATTTTCTATTTAGTACAATTTACAAATTACAATATAGTCTTCTGTTTTCTGTCGATGTTCCATGAGTTAAATATTCTACCAGCTAAACTCTCACAAGTTGTTTTCCCATCAATTTGATCGGCTTATGGTTTTAATTGTAAAGGCGCCTGTCTACTTATCTGAGAGGATCATGCACCCATCTTCTACATATGTTATGAATAACCCATCAGTTGAAACAAATGTGTATGTGCCTCCTCAAAAGCAGATGCCATTTGAAGTGTATCCAGAAAGGCCTGGTGAACCTGAGTGCAGCTTCTTCTTAAAAACTGGGGATTGCAAGTTCAAGTCTAATTGTAAATTTCACCACCCAAAGAATAGGATGGCACGATTACCTCCTTGCAACCTCAGTGACAAGGGTTTGCCTTTGAGACCTGTAAGTTACGCTGCTGTTTTTGCTTCTATGCAGTATTTAAAATAGAACTATGTAACCTAGAGGTTGTTAGTTTCTGATTTATTTCATTTAGTATGATTCACATGAGTCTACAAGTTAGATCGGCTAGTTTCTCGTGTTTAATATTTATTTGTCATAAAATCCAGGACCAGAGTGTCTGCTCGCACTATTGTCGTTATGGAATTTGCAAATTCGGACCAGCTTGTAGATTTGATCACCCAGAAAGTGCACTTCCCTTGATGATGCCTGGACTCGGCCAGCAATCCTACTCAAACCCGGGTAATGCTCAGATGTCTGGAATGGGTGGAAGTGCAGGTGACGTGACAATTCAGCAATCTGTGTAAACATCTTTGTCAAGGATCTTCTATCTTTTTGGATACAATCACCATGAACATGTAGTTTTCCTCCTAAACATGATACACTTATTTAGCTTTTATGACTCTGTCCAAGGCAAAATACAAGCTTTGCCAGAGTATAGCAATATCTATATATGTCAAACAGTTTTCTTATGTATTTATTACAGGTTACCTATGCATCTGCAGTTTGATTATCTGTTAAATCTGGTTTATCTCTCCTTTGGATTAAATTTAGACTGGTTTGAATGGTTGTGAATGTAACTTTCTTGTTTAACAGTTGCCAATGGGGTTTTGAACTTGAAATGTCTGGATTGACAGTCACGTCTAACCCTCACCACCACCACCACCACCACCACCAACCAAGTGGTGTATAATGTAGACTTGATTTTAAAATTTGGTGAAATTTCATTCCCCTGAATTCACTTTGTTCTCTGCAGTTAAATGTTTTCAGAATTTGGGTCATTCATAATTTCATATGCTTATGTGTGCATTTGTTTTCCTCTATTTTGAATCTTTGTTGTTTTTCTTGAAGTTTCTAAAATTGATATTAACATTTTTTTTTTGTCTTGAAAAACAATGATTAAACCATTAAATATATTTTATGCACCTTTTGCTTTTTTGGGTTGGTCTGTGGATATGGCACAGCATTTTGGTTTTGACATAGTTTTCATGACTCGGTTTATATCATAGTCAAATTAGAAATAGTTTATTTGACCAAAAAAATAGAACTTCAAAGCAATTTTATAAAATCAAATGTCACAATCATTTATCCAATGTTCGACAGAACACAAAAAACCCTGAATTGAATGAACCAGGATGAAAAAAAGGCTAAAAAAATTGTAGAACTGGCAAGATTAGATAAATAGTATTCAATAATATGGCAATATTATTTTGTACAAGAGTCTTTGTTTAATTTTTACAGCTTTTTTCTTTTCTTTTCTATTACACCACAGTTGACACTATTATCTGGCACATGCAATTTTTCGTACATGATAAAAACTAAACAAACGTTAATCAATCTGAGCACTAAAAAAGAAAAAGAAAAAAGAAAAATGGTGTGCAAAATTCAATTTGCTTACAACTAACATCAGCAGCTTATGATCCTGCTAGAACATGGTTCAACATAACAACAGTTGAGGCTTTCTAGAATGCTCTCATTGTCTAATCCTTAACCTCATCATATTCCATTGGCGCATAAGTCACCATAGTATCAACCGCAGCAAAACCACTTACTCTGCAATTTCATTCAAATTTCATCTCAGGATTAATAAAGCTCATTAAAGAGGGAACAATCAAAATCAAACCTTAACACAGACACTGAAAAGAAAGAATAGCATGAACTACTTAGTTTCACCTTTCGAGGAAAATCGTCGTTTTGGAAGACAGGATCAGGTTTACGCGGGGTAGCAACGTGGACGGCCGTATTGGTCTTCTTCTCGTCTCTAGCCTTGTTGAAAATGACAGTAAAACCTTCCGCTGAGGCAGGATTGTTCACATCCCACTCACCAAATTTAGGCAATGGCCTACCTTTATCCTGCTGCGTATATCACGAAAATATCAATATCGAATAGTTAGTGCCGCATGATCTTAATCTCATGATAACATCTCTAGTAATGCAAATTCATATTGTGATAGATACAATTTTTTTTGTAAATTTATCGGACAATATAATAATATTTATATAGAAATAGAAAACCTAGGCCTCTCATGATTAAGATCTTGTAATAATAACAACGCACATTCATACAATGTACAAAATTACAACCATCCGTACATAGCATACCAACAAGGCACATTCATAAAATGTTTCTCAAAAACGGATCAAATTTCCTACGATGCAAGCAATTACAAAAGTGTTTCATAACATGAATTATTGAAACGAAAGGAGAAAAGTGAAGAATGATACCGAAGCCATGATGTGAGAATCGCAGGTAGAGGTTTAGATTGAGAGGAAAAAAAGACCAAAATAAATAAATTGAAGAGGAACACAGAAAGTATTTTAAGGAGGATTTGTTTGAATGTACAGGAATGTAAATAAAAACGGAATTAACAATTTCATGTTGGATGATGGAGATGGAAGGACAACCGTTTACTGTTTTTTTTCATTTCAACGAAAGCAACGGAAACAGTGTCGTTAGTGGCTGCGTGTGCGCCTCATTTTTTATACATAACTCATGCCTAAAATAAACAACTTCCAAAACTCTATTTTACACGTAATTTTATTGTTTCTAGAAAGAATGAAAAACAATAGGTTAAATATATTTTTGGTTCTCTTAAATATTTTAAATTTTGTTTTTAATCACTTAAAATATTTTTTTTAAAGAATAATCATTTAAATTTTTTTTTTTAAACTTTTGATCCCTCTTGTTAAAACTGTAGTAAAAAATACCGTTGAGTAAAAAATCATCGTTAAAATCGTCATTAATTTAATTGTTAGGTTGTAAAAACCGTCATTAATTTAGTCGTTAGGTTGTAAAAATCATCGTTAAATTGTAGGAAAAATTAAAAGTTAAAATTAAAAATTTTAGAATGACCATTCTTTGAAGGAAATATTTCGAGGGACTAGAAAAAAATTTTAAAATATTTAGGAGGACCAAAAACATATTGAACCCAAAAATAATTTATTTTAATATTAATTTATACTCGTTACAAATTAATTAATGTTTTCTTTAAGTATTTTAGTGGTTAGAATTTCACCTTTTAAAAATAAAATAAGTGGGATGTGACAATTTTAAATTCTTGTCATTATGTATATTAGCGTTAAGACGGACACACGGCTGTATGTTTTTTATTGCGCGCATTCGTAAAAATATATGTGAAAGTTAATAGTGTTTTAATGGAAGTTATCATGTAAATTATACAATATTGTAAGGGTAAAAATGGTTAAAAAAATTAGACTCACCAAGACAAAGTATTCTCTTAATATATTGTTATAATTTTTTTTAAGCAAGATATTATATAAGAGAGAATTAAGGGTTCTTGCTAAATTTACAGACCAATTAGAATTACGAAAGGAATAATAAAGGGTTTTTGCTAAACTTGTAAAAACTACAATTGAAATGAGTAATTTCTCCATAAAAATAACATCTCCAAACCAATGTTTTAATGTATCATACCGTATTGTTAAAATTTTATCTATCATTTCGGAAATAAATCTCATTCCTTACCAACCAAAGGATCCATGCGGTGGCTAAACAAACAACACATAATTTGCTCTCTTTTACCTTTTTTACTCTACAAAACACTCATCCTCCTCTACATCCGATTTACTGATCCAAGATGCTATCTCCTTCCAAACTTTCTTAACCACCGAACACATGAAAAAGGAATGCTCCCTATTTTCCGGTTCTAAACCACAAAAAACACATTTTAAATTATCTATATGAAAGTTAATACATCTATACATCAAAAGGTACTTTGTTGGAAGTCTATTAACAAAAAGTCTCCAACCAAAGGCCTTAATTTTGAAAGGCACTTCCAATTTCCAAACCAAACCCATAGCCACGTCGTTCCTGTTAGGAGGACTAAAAGGAACATGAAAACCTTCATAATGCGTATAAGAGGAAGCAACCGAAAAATCCCTCTTCCGGTTTAGGAATCCATTCTATCAAATCTGAGCCTTCTGACATGTAACATAAATAGGATGCTACATTTTCAACTTAAAATCAAACTTCATTTAATCGCATATAAAACAGATACATAACACTTAATTCGGATGAACCGATAACAACCTGATTTATTCTTTAAAATCAAACAACTTTTTATTGATAAGCAGCGAAATCTACATACTCAACTTCAATTCACTTAACAACTTTTATTCAACTAACACAACCTCAAGACAACAATTATTTTATGTAATCAACTTAAAAATTCAGCAACTGAAATAATAATCAACAACTAAACATCAAACGATCATCCCCCCGAGTGCTACGTATCAGAGCGACAACACCGACTCTAACTGACGAGGGTAACAACTATTCTTCTTGATTACCTGCACGCTACCAATAGAGAGCAACATTCAAACATAAGAGGTGAGATATCTAACGATATAATAGAATGTATGATAATTAATATATCATAATTAGTTCATATAGAATCACCACTTCACAAATTTCAAACAACTTTAATCTCAACAAAACATCAATACGACATAACGACTAATTCACAGTTTTTAGATGATACCTGTCACAACAAGTCAACAACATAAAGCAACAACAGATCTACCTTCATCACAACTCAAGATGCAACATCAAATGCGACTCAATAACAATGCACATGCATGTTGTACCATTGGAGCAGGACTCCCAACTTAAAAACGGAGTAGAACTCCCAACTTAGAAATGGAACAAAACTTTCATCTTAAAAATTGCCAATTAATAGAGGCATCAACAAGGCATAAACCTTCTTCGCAGTTTGCCAATCCAGGCCATCACAGAGTATACAAATGTATGTGACTTAATGAATACACCATTACATACTCACGATAATCAACATTCATCGCAAGGCATAAGCCCACATCATCATTATTACCAGTAAATAGAGGTAATTCATCATCATTTAAAATTCCTTGCAACTTCGCATTATCAACAAGAATTCACAGCGACAATAACAACAACATAACAACTCACCATAAATCAACATTGGCCATAAGCCTACCACATCAATCAACGATTCAACATCAACTCAACATAATTCAACTTTGGCCATAATCCTACAACTTGATATTTCAACAACAACAATTAACACAACGTTGGCATAAGCCTACAACTTAGTATGTCACAACAACAATATCATATCAACAATAGTAATGTGACAACAACATCAACAAGAAAACAACATTGGCCATAAGCCTAATAATTTGATACCACCTGAAATTCATATTTTTAGCAAGGTATTCAACACACCGTGTCGACTAAAATATACAATAATTGTTCCGTATAATTATGCGGATAAATCGACTAAATCCTGCTAATTAATTAATTCTCCACTGCTATTTTATTACTAATAACCTTATGTTACTAATTCACATCTTAGTCTCTACCTTACAGCAACTTATACAATCCACCGTCTCAACCGTAATATTTTACAAACATTCCGCGTAATTATTCGGACAATTCAACTATATCCGGCTAAATAATCCTCTACTAAAATTGCTAGTATTCTACTCTGTATTATTATTATTAAGACCATCCTGGTACTGTTATTTCACAAGCTCTGCTACTTGTAATGACATCCTACTAGTATGAATCATCCCTGCTATCGTTTTACTATTAATAGCCTTTTATTATTGTTTTCAACAATTATATCATACTGCTACTAGTTTCTAATACTCATATATTTCCCTGCTTCTCTTATTTAATAATATTTCCTACTAACATGTTCTACTAATATGATTTGTCAATATTCCACTAATATACTAAGAAAATTCTATACTAGTATACTAATTCCATTACCAAAAGATATAATAAGGCAACTCTTCTCTGAGTGCCCCTCGGCATGCATTAACATTTCCCTTTTCCGTTCGGCACCCCCTTCCTCTCCATATGTGTTGTTCGGAAGAATGCTTCCTGTCGGTCGTCACTTCCTTTTTCCTGCCTATGCCACACGACACAGGCTTCTTCCTGTGGCTTATGAATTTTTTTGTTTTTCTTCTCCAAAATTTTCTTTCGATTCATCAGTTTACCAATTCAATAGCATAACACAGTACCACAACAAAATAAAAGAAATTATATAAACATGGAATAATTTCTCACAAGAAAACCCCATTTGACAGAGACAACAACATATGAACACAATTACTCTACAACACAATCCACACAAACAGGAATAATTTCATACAAATCTAACCCCACACATTATACATCATATATCCGGTTATAGAGTTAGAACCCCACCCTTACCTTGGATTGGAGACCGTCCTATAATTCTTCGATCGAACCTAGCCTTGCCAAAGTTTTCAACTTTTGCCTCTTTTCCTCTTTTCCTCTTTTCTGGAATTCTGCAACTTTTCACGTTCACCACAAAATACTCCAAGACTTGTTCAATTAACCTAATCCTCATAATTAGCTTAATCTTATAATTATTAATATTCTTATTGGGCCTCACTTTCACACCCTACCTATTACTCCATACAACTAAATAATGAGCCCAAATAATAAACTTTATATTATTCTAATATCTATATTAATATTATTATTAATATTAATCAACCAACCAATTAAATATCAACCAAATAACAACTTAGCAACTAAAATCAACATTTCTCGGAATTTCGCAACTTCAATAATTTCAACAACATATTCAACCATTGATCCGTAATTAATTTAATTAAATAATTAATTAAATTAACGGGCGTTACAACTCTCCCCCACTTAGAATATTTTCGTCCTCGAAAATCTATTCGATACTGTTGTACCCCAAAATTTTCCCTCTCATTTATCAAGACTTTTCTCACAAGATCTCTTTGACTCAAGTCTAGATTAGGGTTTGATCAGCTCAAGACATCTCATCTTACACTGTTGATCCAAAATTAGGGTTTGAGTTTACACAAGGATTCTTGGACTATCAATGTTTCATATGACTTTCAAACATCATTATGGACCCCTAAGTTTACTCATGACAAGTTTCAAGCCTTGAACCACATTTTTTATCAGTCAATTGGACAGTTGACCTAAAAATCACCTGTATTGGGGAAAAAGTCAACCATGGCCAATTTATAGTCAAACTTCATAATTCTTGATCAACATAAACATTTTAGGCTCATATTTATCATTTGATCAAGTTTGGACCACAACTCCTCAAGAAATTTGATCAAATCATCAAAAGGGCAAAATGGTCAAAATTAGGGTTTTGACTAAGGAAGGGCAATTTCTGATTTTTGACCTAGAAAATGACCAATTGAGTTGAAGCATGATT